AAATTTATAAAAAGTTGCAAAAATAAAGAGTACAAAGAACACCCATATGCTTTTTATTCAGATTCATCTACTGTCAATATTTATTCTCATTTACTTTATCATTTGTGCTCTCTCTCCCCCCGCTTCCCTCCCTCCATTTGAGAGTAAATTAAAAACATCACGACTCTTTACCTATAAACATATTAGTGTGTGTTTCCTAAGAACAGAGATACTCTCTTACATACCCACAATGATCACCATCGTAAATGTCCAGGGATACAATACTTTTATGTAATCTATCATCCATATTCCAACTTTGTCAATTGGCACAGTAAAGTCCTTTATGGCCTATTCCCCCATCCAATTCAGGATCCAGTCTCTAGTCAGATACTGCATTTTGTTTCCTGTCTCTTTACCCTCTTTTAATTTGATACTTTCCCACAGTCTTTCTTTTTAAAAATGAATCTTTTTTTTAAAAAAATTTGGAGATATGGTCGATAGGGTCTTGCTCTGTTAGCTGGGCTGGAGTGCAGAGGTGTGATCACAGCACATTGCAGCCTCCAACTCCTGAGCTTAAGAGATGCTCCTGCCTCAGTCTCCTGAGTAGCTGGGACCACAGGCACCACCACACCCATCTAATTTTGGAAAATTTTCTTTTTTAATAATCTTTTCTTAAACAGAGTCTTGCTCTGTCGCCCAGGCTGGAGGTGCTATATTGACTCACTGCAACCCACACCTCCTGGGTTCAAGAGAGTCTCCTGCCTAAGCCTCCAAAGTAGCTGGGATTACAGGTGCCCGCCACCATGCCAACCTAATTTTTGTATTTTTAGTAGAGACAGGGTTTTAACATGTTGCCCAGGCTGGTCTTAAACTCCTGGACTCCAGTAAGGCTCCAACCTTAGCCTCCTGAGTAGTGGGGAGTAGAGGCACACATCGCCGTACCCAGCTAACTTTTTAATCTTCTGTAGAGATGGGGTCTCCCTATGTTGTCCAGGCTGGTCTTAAACTCCTGGGCTCAAGTGATTCTCCCGCCTCAGCCTCCCAAAGCACTGGGATTACAGGCATGAACCACTGTGCCTGGCCACATTTTCTAATTTTTAAAAATTTATTTTTAATATTTTCACATTTTTTTAAAAAGCATATTTTTACTTTGAGGTGGGGTCTTGCTATGTTGCCCAGGCTGGTCTTAAACTCCTGGATTCGAGTGCTCCACCTGCCTCAGCCTCCCAAAATGTTGAGATTATGGGCCCCAGCCACCATGCCGGCAAGTTATTTTCCATGTATCTTGCTTACTGTTTGTCTCCCTCCTCCCCTCCCAGCACTGCAAAACATGTTATTTCTATAAAGGCAGAGATCTCTATTTGTTTCATTTGCTGGCATTCCCCGAAACCTGAAACAGTGCCTGGCACATAGTAGGGCCATATAAATCTTTGCTGAGTGAATGGACTTGGGAAGGCACAGTCATAGGGCGGCAGCCTGGGCTGGGAGGTCAGTCCCACCAGGGAAGACACCATTTTTGAGCCAGCCTGCATGGTTGAGACTTGGTAGGTGAGAATGCGAAGTAAAGAGGACCTGGTTTATTTTCACCTGTTGGAAATAAATTGAAAGTTGTGATACAGGGAGGGACCCAAAAAGTCCCTTTCTCTCCTTGGGGCAGCATAAGACGGAATCTGCCCTAGGGGCTTGGTAGGTGAGTTGGTGGGGATTGCAGGAGAGAAAAACCCTGCCTCTGCATGAAGGGGCAGATTTGGGAAGTCCACTCCAGCAGCAGCTCTGTCCTCTTGGGTGGGGAGGAGGGGAAGAGGAGAGAGTGCCTCAGGGCAGAGGTGGTGGGGAGGGAACCTGGTTTGGGAGAAGGAAGGTGGTCACAAGGTTCATACATTCTGGGAAGAACGAGGTAGGTGGCAGAGGCCTTGAATGCTGGGCTGGCCTGGGTCTCAGCACAGGGAGCCATAGAGTTTGAGGGTGTGGCAGGGTGATGTGGCCACAGGTGATCATTATCTTAGTGTACAGAAAGGTGGGGCTGGGGGCAATCCAAGGGTCCTTGGAAAGGGGAACACGGACGTTGAGGGCCAGGACCAGAGACGCCCTGTGACTCTATCCAGGTCATCTCACTTCTGTGAGCTTCAGTGTTTTTAACTATGGGATGGAATAATCATATTCCTTACCCTACTCTTTTTGTTTCCTATTTCCTTCCTTCCTTCCTTCTTCCTTCCCTTCCTCTCTCCCTCCCTCCCTTTCTCTTTCTTCCTTCCTTTTCCTTTCTGTTTCATTTTTTCCTTTCCCTTCATTCCTTTCCTTCTTCCTTTCTTTCCTTCTTTCTTTTTTTTCTTTCTTCTTTCTTTTTTTAGAGACAGGGTCTTGGTCCGTCACCCAGGCCAGAGTGCAGTCGTGCAATCATGGCTTGCTGCAGCCTCAAACTTCTAGACTCAAGTAATCCTCCCACTTCAGCCTCCTGAGTCCTGCAACTACAGATACACACCATCATGCCTGCTATTTTTTTCTTTTAATTTTTTTTGTAGAGATGGGGGCCAAGGATGGTCTCAAACTCCTGGGCTCAAGCAATTATCCCACCTTGGCCACCCAAAGTGTTGGATTTATCGGCATGAGCCACTGCATCCAGCCTCGTCTGATGGTCTCGTGATCTGCTATGTCCCCAGCACCTAGAACAGGCACAGTAGGCACTCAGGAAATGTGTGTTGAGTGGCTCTTGGTCAGTTTGGGCTGCTGTAACAGACCACAGTGTGGGTGATTTATAAAGAACAGAAAGCTACTTCATGCAATTCTGGAGGCTGGAAGCCCTATATAACGGTGACAGCATCGTCACGTTCTGGTGTGGGCTCCCTTCTCGGTGGCAGACTGCCGTCTTCTAGTTGCATTCCCCACGTGGTGTAAAGTGAACAAGAGAGATCTCAGAGATCCCTTTTATAAGGGCACTAATCCCATTGGGAGGGACTTGATTACCTCCCTAAGTTTCCACCTCCTAAAACCATCACACGAAAGGTCAGGATTTCAACATCTGGAATGGCAGAGGCACAAATGTTCCGTCCACAGCAGTGACGGAGCGAGTGAATGCATACCTCCTGCTAGGGCTGCAGTGAGATTAAGATGCAGGGTGGTCACGACAACCAGCGGGAATTCCGCATTTGCCGACGGCTCATGCTGTGCCAAGTGTTGTTCTGAGCACTTTCCTGCACAGACTCATTCGATCCTCACAACCATCTTGTGCGTGGAGACTGATTTCTCCCAGTCTGCACATGAGGCACACGGAAGGATGCAAGAGTGATGAAATTTTCCCAACGAACCATGGCCGGGATGTAAAGGATTGAGCTGCCAGCCCAGGCAGTCAGATAGCCTTGTGCTTGTGACCAGGGATTGTGCCGCAAGCCAGGGTGACAGATGGCCTGGCACACTGAAGTCAGGTGCTCATAACCACAGAGCCTCCTAGGAGGCAAAAGCATCATCATCTATTTTACTTTATTTTATTTTAATTGAGATGGGGTCTCACTATGTTGTCCAGGCTGGTCTTGAACTCTTGGGCTCAAGTGATTCCCCACTTAGCCTCCTAAAGTGCTGGATTACAGCTGTGAGCCACCATGCCTGGGCATCGTCTCCATTTTAGAGCTGAGGAAAGTGGTCTCTAGAGAGGGGAGCTGACCTGCTGAGGCCACCCAGTTAGCAAGTGGGGGAGTCAGGATTTGAACCCATGCAGTCTGGCTGCAGAGCCAGCTGGCTCAGCCTCATGCTTTATCAGGGCAGGTACTTTGTGACTGCCTGTAGCATGAGTAAGACACAAGCAGGGCAGCAAGACGAGGCAGCTGAGTCATTTCTTTCTTGCAATGCCAAACTGCCCCTTATACCCTAAGTAACACTTCTAGAATTTTCTAAGACTCTTATTGAATCACCCATCCTCCCTCACTGCCTCTATTCTAGAGCTACCTGACCTTTCTTCTGTGCCTCAAATTCAAAAACTTTAAACATGCTGCTCCCTCTGGCTCATCCCTATACCCTTCAGGTTTCAGCTACTATGTCCCCTCCTCAAGGAAGCTTTCCCTGATCCTGAGGCTGAGTCAGGTGACCCCTTTGAATTTCTCCATCCCAGTCCTGCCCACTCTGGTTCATCACTGTCTAGGGACAGGTCTGTCTCCCCCACTGGACTGTGATTCTCTGTGAGAACAGGCTTGGGGCTATCTTGGTGAGTGCTGTGTCCCTCGTACCACCAGGAGCAGGGGTCAGCACAGAAGAGAATTCAGGACTGGGTGCAGTGGCTCATGCCTGTAATCCCAGCACTTTGGGAGGCTAAGGCAGGCAGATCACTTGAGCTCATGAGTTCAAGACCAGCCTGGGCTACATGGTGAAATTCTGTCTCTACTAAAAATACAAAAATTAGCTGGGTGTGGTGGCGCATGCCTGTAGTCCAAGCTACTAGGGAGGCTGAGGCAGAAGAACCACTTGAGCCCAGGAGGTGGAGGTTGCAGTAAACGGAAATCATGTCACTGCACTCCAGCCTGGGGGACAGAGCAAGACACTGTCTCCAAAAAAATAAAAGAAGAGGAAGAAGAAGAAAGAAGAAAAGAAGGAAGAAGGAAGAAGAAGAAAGAAGAAGAGGAGGAGGAGGAGGAGGAGAAATCAGGGAGTATTTGTTAAATGAATGGATGGATGGATACATGAATTAATGATATTTCTCTCAGCTGGTAGGTTCTGTTAAATCTTCTGGGTCTGGGTATACATACTCTCAAAGAATAACAGCTTGTCTTGCTCATAGAGATGTTTTTTAAAGTAATTTTTATCTATTGAACCTTTACTATGTTCTCTAAGTTTCAGCTCAGATGTCCACTCCTCCAGGAAGCCCTCCCTGCCTCCTCCCCCAAGACCACATCAAGCTCCTCCTGGAGATCCCCCAGCCCTGCTCAGTCTGTGATCCCTGCCCGTCTGACTCCAGAGCTTTTGTTTATGACCAGGATCTAGATGACAAACATGATTTCAGCTCATTTAATATTTACTGGCTGTTTACAATGAACTTGGTACTGGGCCTGCTTTATTAAGCTCTTGGGAACAAGAAGCGGGCCATTGTTGTTTTTTATTATCTTTGCTATTGACCATCCTAATCTCAGTTCCCGGTCTCCAGGGTTCCTGGAGTTCCTGCTCTCTGCGCTGGGCAGGGAAGGAAAGTGAGCTCTGGGGGTGGAGGGCAGAGGTAGGGTCAAAGTTGCTTCCCTGCCACCACACCTGTCTGTCCTGGGAGCCACAGTTACTTCAGTGTGTGTGAGTTTGTAGCAGGGCAGGAGAGGAGAGAAGGCGGGTGGAGGGGCTGCAGCTGGAGTTGGGACTGTCTGTGTGTGCAAGCCAGGGGGACAGACAGCCTGGCACACTGAAGTCAGGTGCCAGGACCCATGAAGCCTGCTGACTTATGGGGATACCACTGGATGGGAATCCTGCTCTCAGGTGAGTGCCCTGCTTCTTTCAGACGGGGGTGGAGGGGAGTTGTATGCATCTGTTTGTCAGTGATGTGTGTGTGTGTGTGTGTGTGTGTGTGTGTGTGTGTGTGTGCGCGCGCGCTCGCGCGCGCAGAAAGAAAGAGACAAAGACGGAGTCAGAGCCACAGAACCAGAGATCAAGAGGGAAAGAGAGTTAGGGAAATACAGGGAGAGAAAGATACACAGAAAGACAGAAAAAGGGTGAAAAAGTAATTTTAGAAATGATACCAGTGGGTGCCAGGTGTGGTGGCTCAAGTGCTGTAATCCCAGCACTTGGGGAGGCTGAGGCAGGTGGATCATCAGGTCAGGAGTTCAAGACCAGCCTGGCCAAGATGGTGAAACCCCTTCTCTACTAAAAATACAAAAATTAGCCAGGCATGGTGGCAGGTGCCTGTAATCCCAGCTACTCAGGAGGCCGAGGCAGAGAATCACTTGAACCTGGAAGGTGGAGGCTGCGGCGAGCCGAGATCACGCCACTGCACTCCAGCCTGGATGACAGAGCAAGACTGACTCTCTCTCTCTCTCTCTCTCTCTCTCTCTCACACACACACACACACACACACACACACACACACACACACACGAAAGGAAATGATACAGTGAGAAAAACAGGGAGAGGCAGAAAGGAGAGAGGGAGACAGAAGACAAAGAGACAGGGAGAGAACTGTGTAAAGACACAGAATTAGATTCAGAGAGATGAGGAGAGAATTGGAGCATCACAGAGACAGACAAGCAGACGGGGGTGAGACAGGAAGAGGGAGGCTGAGGCTGTGCAGCCAGGAGCGGCCAGGTCCACGGATCAGGATGGATGTGAAATTTCTGCCTCAAAGGCATCTGAGACAAAAGGCAGAAACTAGAATATTTTGATGAAAAAAGTATTTTGGAAGTGAAGACATGACTTTGCAACAACTCATGTGCGGAGGTGAGGGCTCAGCCCAGTCCTGCTCTGCGTCTCGGAGACCAGCTTCTCCTTCTCTGGGCCTACGCTTCCTGGCTGACCATCCTGGGGGGCTGAGAGTTATCAGCCACATCCACAGGTGTCTCTGTAAGTGTTGCCTCTTCCTGGTGGGACAGAAGGCAGGACCCTGTGAGAAGAGAGCCAGAGGGAAAGGGCCAGGGCAGGCGTTCCACAGAGGGAGGCTTCTTGTCTCAGTGGGCATGATGAGACTCCCATCAGTGCTTTTGCTCACGTCATGCCACTTATCCTTTCAACAGTTCAGTGAGGCTAGAACTGTTACTACCTCCATTTTTCAAATGGGGAAACTGAGGCTCAGATAGGGAACATCACTTGCCCAAATAAATGGCAAAGATGGAATTCAAATCCGGGTGGTCAGGCTCTGAGCCTGTGGACCTAACCTCTAATAGCATTTGAGGCAGAGAAACCACAGACATGAGAACCTGTCATCAAGACCACCACCATCATCATCATCGTCATCACGGTGGCTGAATATTTGCTATGAGCTGTTTTAAGCATGTCATATCCAATCTCTCATTCAGACCTCACAACCACCAGATGAACTAAGTTGTACTGTTCTCGCCATTTTGCAGTTGAAGAAACTGAGGCTCACAAAGTCCCTTACCCATGATAGTAGGGCTAGTGACAGAGTTTGTATTTGTTCCTAAGAGCTCGTGCCCTTATTCACTGACTGGCAGGTAATGGGAGTGTTTGGGCCACACTGCGGCCCTTTTGAGAGTGCAGAGGGGCACGGTATCCCGTCTGTGTTAAGTGGGCTCATGGGAGAGACAAGGTCAGTTGCATGTGAGCACGGCTGCTGAGGCTGGGCCCTGGCACAGTCTCTCTCTCTCTCTCTTTTTTTTGTTTTTTGAGACAAGGTCTAGCTAGCTCTGTCACCCAGGCTGGAGTGCAGTGGCACGATCTCGGCTCACCGCAACTTCCCCCTCTCGGGTTCAAGCGATTCTCATGCCTCAGCCTCCCAAGTAGCTGAGATTACAGGCACATGTCACCATGCCCAGCTAATGTTTGTATTTTTTGTAGAGGCGGAGGTTTCACCATGTTGACCAGGATGGTCTCAAACCCTTGGCCTCAAGTGATCCACCCATCTCAGCCTCCCAAAGTGTCGGGATTACAAGCATGATCCACCGTGCCAGATCCCACAGTCTCTTGGAGCCCCCGTAATGGTGTGCAGAATGACCAAATGGAAAACTGGGAACTAGTTCTTTCGTTTGCATTATTATTATTTTTTGATCCGGGATCTTGCTCTGTTGTCCAGGCTGGTCTCAAATTCCTTAGCCCAAGTGATTCTCCCACTTCAGCCTCCAAAGAACTGAGGTTACAGGCATGAGCCACACACCTGGCTGAAAACTAGAAGCTTCTGCTATCTTGTTCCTCTTTCCTCCCCATGCAAGTGAAATCTTGCCTGAGGGCAAGTCTGAGGAAGTGACAAAAGTCAGTATTTCACACCAAGATCACAGTAGAAGTACCTGTGAATCAAGGGTTGGGTCTGTGGCCACTTCTGGGCTGACAGGAGGAATTACAGTGTTGAGAGCAGTCTTCAGGCCCTGGCAGGCCAGGTTCAAGTTCAGCTTCTGCCACTGACAATACTGACTTATTGTCAGTGAGTGATGTCACCTCTCTGAGCATCAGTTTCCCTCTATGTGGAATGGGGAAGCCATCTTGTGTCTCCAGTAGAGGCCACATCACTGAAGAGAACACCGTGACTATTAGAGGGCCCAGTTAATGTTTGCCAATATTCATTACCACCCCCACCACAACCCTAGGATGCAGGTGATAGTATTCCCATTTTATAGCTGAGGAGACTGAGGCTCAGTGAGGACAAAAACATGCTGCAGCTGGGCGTGGCGGCTCACGCCTGTAACCCGGCACTTTGGGAGGCCGAGGAGGCGGATCACTTGAGGTCAGGAGTCGGAGACCAGCCTTGGCAACTTGGTGAACCCCCATCTCTACTAACAATACAAAAATTATCTGGGTGTGGTGGCCTGTGCCTGTAATCCCAGCTACTCAGGAGGCTGAGGCTGGAGAATCCCTTGAACCTAGGAGGTGGAGGTTGTGGTGAGCTGAGATTGTGCCACCGCATTCCAGCCTGGGCAACAGAGCCAGACTCTGCCTCAAAAAACAAAAACAAAAACACACACACAAATAGAAACCACACAGACAAACATGACGCAAGTCATGTAGCTGGTAAGTAACGAGTAGGACTCAAGTCTCTATGGGTGGGATGCCAGCTCTTTGACCTCAGAATTCCTTCTGCTTCTGAAGACCCTAACCGGGCACCCCCCAACACACCTCTCCCTCCCCGAATGTCTCCTCTCTCTCCTTCTAGCCTCGCTTTGGACCATATGGAGTCCTCCAGCTGCAGCCCAGTTCACCTTCAATGCCAACCGACGTGACGCCATACAAAGTGAGAAGGATGTTGTTCTATCCATGTCTGGGACCCCCAGGACACCCCAGACTCACGGCAGATCCAGAGGTGTGGGCCCTGAAAACAAGATGGCCATTCTGATCTCTGCCTCCTTGGAGATCCACCATCTGGGCCTCATGCCCAAAGTCCCAAGAGGACAAATCTGATTGGCTCAGCCAGGGTGTGGCAACGACTGGTTCAGCCATCTATGCCAGGGGTGGGGAGGTAAAGGGGGAGGGTTGTGGTTGTCATGGCTGGGGTGGGCAAAGTTAGCTAAAAAGTGGGCAGGGGCTCTGGGTGCAGGTCCTTACACCTGTCATTCCAGCACTTTGGGAGGCTGAGGTGGGTGGATTACTTGAACTCAGGAGTTTGTGACCCACCTGGGCAACATAGGGAGACCCCATGTCTACAAAAAAAAAAAAAATTGCCAGGTATGGTAGTGCACACCTGTAGTCCCAGCTATTGGGAGGCTGAGGTAGGAGGATCGCTTGAGCCCATGAGGTCAAGGCTGCCATGAGCCGTGATTGCACCACTGCCCTCCAGCCTCGGTGACAGAATGAAACTCTGTTTCAATAAAGAAAGAGTGGGTAGGGGTCCTTGCCGGCACCCATGTGGCAGGCTTGATTGTTGTTGCAGCTGACATTGAATGGCTCCTTGTCAGGTCCCAGACCCTCTGACTCACTTGCACAATGGCTTTCAATGGGGCTTGGAGAGGGGAAGTAACTTGCCCTAGATGACACGTATGATAAGCACTAGATCCAGCACTTAAGCCCAGGCAGCCAACTCCAGTGTGTCTTCTGGCAATTCCAATCTAGTCCTGTTTCTCTGGGTCCCTCTGTAACTATGTCTTGCTTGTTCTTCCTCTACCCGTGTCTCTGCCTCTGTCTCTGTCTCTTGCCTTCAGGGCTGGCCAAGCCCACCATTGAGGTCAGCTCGGGCACTGCCATAGAGCAGAAGGAAATGGTGACCTTCTATTGCAACACCAACGATGTCAACATTACCATCCACTGGGTTTCCAACAACCTCCCCCTCATATTCCATGAGCGTATGCAGCTGTCCAAGGATGGCAAGAGCCTCACCATCCTCATTGTCCAGAGGGAGGACTCAGGGACCTACCAATGTGAAGCTCAAGATGCCTCTGGGAGTGAGAGCAGCGACCCCACCTTCTTGGATGTGAATTGTGAGTCCCCTTCCATTCTTTCCAATCCTTCACCAACATTCATTTCCTTAGTGCCTCGTTCAGTCTCGCAATACCACCCAGATGTGGACTTGTCTACCTTTGAACTTCAGACATGTAACTATTTAACATCTCTACTTGGATTCTACTGGAAACCTCCAACTTAAAGTGTCTAAAAATTGAGCTCCCAAACCTCAGACGTTTGATCCAAAACCTTGCCTGGATAGGGGTGAGCAGAGAGTTAGCTGGCTCACTTTATTTATTTATTCATTCATTCATTCATTCCTTCATTCGAGACAAGATCTCGCTCTGTTGTCCAGGCTGGAGTGCAGTGGTGCAGACATAGCTCAGTGATCCTCCTGAGTAGTGAGCCTCCTGAGAAGCTGGGACTACAGGCATGAGCCATTGCAACTGGCTAATTTTTAAACTTTTTGTAGAGATGGCATCTTGCTATGCTGCCCTGACTGGTCTTAAACTCCTTGCTCCAAGCAATCCTCTTGCCTCAGCCTCCCACAGTGCTGGGATTACAGGTGTGAGCTACCATATCCAGTCAGTTGGCATACTTCAGATGTGTCTTTCAATCTTGCTTTACTCTGAGATGAGGCTGACATTTCATCTCCATCTGACTGCTGTACCTCCTTTGTAATGGATATAGCCTTTGAGTGGGGAGGAGGGAAATATAGTATTTATTGATCCACTAAAGACATCCGTAAGAGACTTGTAGCTGATGCTATTGTCACTGCTGTAATTGTTCCTGTCCTCTCAGATGGTCCTGACCCTGTTGAAATCAAATTGGAGTCTGGTGTTGCCAGTGGGGAGGTGGTTGAGGTGATGGAGGGCTCCAACGTGACCTTCTTGGTGGAAACAAAGTCTCATCCACCCCCTTCCTATATGTGGTTTCTCCCTGATTCCTCCAATCTGTCTCCCACCATGAGAACATTCACCATCCATGCTGTGTCCAGAGAACATGAGGGCCTGTACAGGTGCTTGGTGTCCAACGCTGCCACCCACCTGTCCCGCCTGGGTACTCTGAAGGTCCAAGTCCTTGGTGAGTATCCTTTCCTGGTTCCTCTCCTTCGTTCTTCTGAGAGTTAGACAGTTGCCACGTCAGAAGGATCTAGGAGTTCTTAATCCGGGGCCTTTGGATACTGTGTGAGGGAGTAATTTCTGCATGGTATTGAGTTGCATGCAAGATATTTGTGCTGTGTTCTAGAGACAAGGTCAAGGATTGTCATCAGATTTTTGAAGGAATCTTGAACTCTTAAAGAGCCACTGAGCTACTCTAATACCCCAGAGTTTGAGGAGGACCCAGGGGGATTTTCAATGTAGCTGGTGGCTGAGCAGGGTTCCAACTGCAAGGAAGGCTGGGCACACTGGCTCCTGGCTTGGAACATCCTGCACAAGACCCTGGTGGCTCTCTAGGGGGTGCCCATGATTTGATTCTCTGGAGGTGGGGGGGGTTAACTGTCTACATTTAAAAACACTAACACAACACTCACACACAGATAACCCCACATGCACAGCACACTCACATACAATACACCCAGTAAACATAACTCATACCTTGCAATACCACATACACATACCATGTAATACCACAGACATACAGCACACACTCACACAAAACATACAGACATATAGCATGCACACAACAGAGGTGTACAACTCATTCATCACAAAGTACATAACACATCAGACATACAACGCATACACACAAACCCACAACACACACACACAAACCCACAACACATACAAAATGCTCACACATATTCACAACACATATACGACACACACTCACACAAAACATACACACATATAGCATGCACACATCAAAGGTGTTCAACTCACAAAGTACATAACACATCAGACATACAACACACACACAAACCCACAGCACATACACACAAACCCACAACGCATATACACAATATGTTTACACACATACAACACATGACATACAAAATACAGACACACATATCTCACATACATCTACCAACAAACAAGATCACAGATACATGACACAGTCACATAAAATATATATACACTTAATATGCACCAGTGGACACACACAACACATCACAGACACTCAGCACCCACTAAACATTACAACCATCCAACATCACAGACACTCAAGACGTACAACATGAAAAACACACCACATACCATACATTCAACATCCTTAACACATATATATATACAACAGAAACACAATGCACACACAAAATGCATACACATACCACATGCAGCAGAGACACAGAGCATATATACAAAACACAAATACATAACACAAACAATACCACAGACACAGAATACACACTCATATACAAAAAATATATACATATAACATATGCTCACATACAAAGTGCATATGTGTACCACACATATACTTCACGTTCAACACATACACCCAACACACAGAAGAGATGCAAAACACACAAACACCACACACTATGCACACAACCCATTGCATATTCACATAATAATCACACAACACACATTCATCCACCGAAGACATATATGTACCCCATACACCAGTCATATGCAAATCACACACCCACACACACACTTGGAAAAACCTTGTGGGCCCCACATAGGCAGGAGACGGGGGAAGTCTCCCTGAACTTGATCCTGTATCTCCATCTGTTTCCAGAAACACTGACCACACCTCAAGTCATGTCTTCAAGCCCAGACCTTGTGGAGAATGCCAGGTCTGTGGCCCTGACCTGCCAAACTGACCATGAGAGGGTGAATGTCCAGTGGTTCCTGAGTGGCCAGCCCCTCCTGCCCAGTGAGCACCTGGAGCTGTCGGCTGACAACAGGACCCTGACCATCCATGGCCCCCAGCGGAACGACACAGGGCCCTATGCCTGTGAGGTCTGGAACTGGGGCAGCCAGGCCCGGAGTGAGCCCCTTGAGCTCACCATCAACTGTGAGTCACCTGGAACCTGGCCCTTCCCCTTCTCCCTGCCTCTCTAAGTTCTTCCTTCCATTAGTTCATGTCATGATTATTGAGCTCCTGCTCTGCGTCAGGCATGAATCTGGGCACTGGACAAAGCCAAGTGCCTGCCCTCAGGCGGCTTATGTTCTAGTGTAGACGCCAGACCATAAACAGAGAAGTAGGTAATAAGGTTTAGGGACAGCACCAGATTTAGGCTTTCACAGTTTCTCACTGGCCCTTGTCTACAGGGAGGCAAACATAGAAGCCGGAGACAGGAAAAGTGAGAGAAGGAGTTGTATTTGTCCGGATCCTTGGAGAAGCAGGCCCCAAGATGGGATTAACAGGATTATTTGTGCAAGGGTTTTATCAGGGGAAATGTGCCTGTGAGGATAACTAGGGAGGCTGCTGTAGGAAGGCTGGGAGAGCCATCAGACTGGGAGACTGAGATGCAAATGTGACCCCGAGTGATAGGGAGAGGGACAGAGACTTGAATGGACACACCTGGGTAACCATGCAGCTGAAGGAACACCCATCAAGGCTGCTGGGACCTTCCATGTCTCCCAGGAAGGGGCCTGCCTTAGTTTCCTGGATGTATCGAGGTAATGGCAGGGTGCAGCCTGTGGGAAGACTGGGAGCGGATTTGGGGGCACAGCACTTGGGCCCTTGGTCAATTACATTTCTGCCATTGGAGGTCTCTGAAGAGCTTCTCCTGGTGGCAACAATTGCCCGACGAAAGATAATGGGGTGAACCAGAGTAGCAACTGTCGGGTGATGAGAAATGGGTGTACTGTAGATGTATTTTGAATATGCTGCTGACTGATATTAGGTGAAAGAGAAGGAAAGGAGTTGAGAATGACTCTTAAGGTTTATTGCCTGAACCACTGAAAGGATGTAGGAGTCATGAACCAAGATGGAGAAGATTGGGGGAGAAGAGGTTTCTGCAGGGAGAGAACGGGGGAGTGCACTTTTGTACATGCGAAGTAGCAGGGAACACAGAGGTAGGGGTTATTAAGTATATGTCTTTGCTCCTCTTTCCCCTTCTCTGTTGCTCTCTCCTCTTTCCTTCTCAATTCAGTCATTAAACCAAAAATATTGATTTTGTGCTGTCTCTGTGCTAAGCAACGTGTTGGGCATCTGATACTTGCCATGATTTTCGGCTCTCACAGGCTGCTGGGGATGGGGAGGTCACTAAGTAGGCAAATAAAACACAGCATGATAAATGGTGCCTCGGGAGACAAAGGGATGGTCTGGGGAGCCCAAAGGAAGCCTCCATCTGGGGGATGTTGCAAAGGGTCATCATGAGTGGGAATGTCCACCGTGAGAGCTGAAGGATGAGTAGGAGTAGGTTGGTTAGAGCAGAGTCAGGGAAGAGCATTCCAGGCAGCAGGAAGAGTATGCAATGGCTTTAAGGGGAGAGAGAGTATAACAGGGATAGAATCTCCAAGTGAGATTTAATTCCTGAATGAGAGCAGGAGGGGTGGGGAGGTGGTGGGGCTAGAGGGGTCTGTAAGAGTCAAATTATAAATGGCCTCATCAGCCATAGGCTTTGTCCCAAGGGCACTGGGGAGTCACAGAGGGTTCTGAACACTGGAGGGATAGTGACAATTTAGTACATAGGAAGACTTTTCTGGCTGCTGTGTGGAGGATGAACCTGGGATGGGGAGACCAGGAGGGGCTGGGATGCAGGTGAGGGATCTAAGTGGCCATGGGGTTATAATGAGGAGAAATGAACAGGTTCAAAGGATGTTTAGGAGGGAGCAGAGATAGGGTATTCCTCCCCTTCTAGCATGTCTCGATTAGTGACCTTTTGCATCCTTTCCAGTATTTTACATTAATTTAAATAAAGTATGACTCTCAAACTCTTTTAGGTTTTTAAAAAAATAGAGACAAGGTCTTACTATTTTGCCTAGGCTGGTGTTGAGCTCGTCCTGAGCTCAAGCAATCTCCCTGCCTCACCCTCCCAAAGCGCTGGGACTACAGGCATGAACCGTAGTCCCAGGCCCAAACTCTTTTAATTTATATGAGAAATCCAACAGCTCCTTTCATTTGTTTCCTTCTTGTATGTGGTAGAAGAGAAAAGTGACAATGATCCCCTCTGACATTACAAATAAAACTTATACCATTGAGAATACACAGTACTAGAAGTTAGAAGTTAGGGATTATGTGCACAGGACACAGCAACAATTTCTATTGTTTTTCTTTCTTTCTTTCTTTTTTTTTTTTTTTTTTTGAGATAGTCTCACTCTGTCATCTAGGCTGGAGTGCAGGGGTGCAATCTTGGCTTACTGCAACTTTGGCCTCCCAGGTTCAAGCTATTCTTAGCCACCTGAGTAGTTGTGATTACAAGTATGTGCCACCACACCCAGCTAATTTTATTTTTCTTTTTTCAGTAGAGATGGGACTCGCCATGTTGGCCAGGCTGGTCTTAAACTCCTGGCCGCAGGAGTTCCACCCTGACATCCACCTACCTCGGCCTCCCAGAGTGCTGGGATTACAGGTGTGAGCTACTGTGCTTGGCTGAGCAACAATTTCTGATGCCTGGGTGACTTAGAATACTTATTTAAACTCGCTTTTGCAAAGGCAGAGTTTTTGGCTTTTTTTGTTTTTGTTTCAATCTCCTCCACCCCCAGTGTTGTGGAGCAAACTCTGCTTGTCAGACAGCTTAGGAGGAATTCCAAGGTGAAATTGAGTGGGGCAGAGTGGGATGACTTGCCGATGGGGGCCAGCGTGCCTTATGTTTGGCTTTGCACACAGATGGTCCTGACCGAGTGAACATCACCAAGGAGTCAGCGTCTGAGGTGGTCAGCACCATCAAGGCAGAGCTCAACTCCAGCCTGACCCTGCAGTGTTGGGCCGAGTCCAAGCCAAGCGCTGAGTATCGCTGGACTCTTGAACACTCCACTGGGGAGCACATGGGAGAGCAGCTGATCATCAGGGCTCTGACCTGGGAACACGACGGGATCTACAACTGCACAGCCTCCAACCCGCTCACTGGCCTGGCCCGCTCCGCTTCTGTCCTAGTCAAGGTGGTAGGTGAGTCTCTCAGGGTTGCCTTCTCCTGGGACCCAAGGGGCCTTTCCTGATGCTGGTCCTGGCCACCTAGTCTATCCCCACCAAGGGCTGGAGTATGGCAGTCTCCACACTGCCTAAACAGGTTCTCAATCCACAGCTGTTGAATCCCAACCCCTCATGCTCAGGGGAACACAGAACATCCACTTCCTGCTGTGTTCCCTGGAAAACTCTCCAGGCTGTTCTAAGCCTCAGTTTGCTTACTTGTAAATTGGGTCTGTGATGTGTTTTAGTCCATTTTCATACTGCTGGTAAAGACATGCCCAAGACTGGGTAATTTATAAAGAAAAGTTCCATGTGGCTAGGAAGGCCACACAACCATGGCGGAAGGCGAACGGCATGTCTCACATGGCGGCAGACAAGAGAGAATGGGAACCAAGTGAAAGGGGAAACCCTTTATAAAATCATCAGATCTCGTGAGACTTATTCCCTACCATGAGAACAGTATGGGGGAACTGCCCCCATGATTCAATTATCTCCCACCGGGTCCCACCTACAACACATGGGAATTATGGGAGCTGCAATTCAAGATGAGATTTGAGTGGGGACAAAGCCAAACCATATTGTGATGCCTATCTTTCAGAGTTGTTTAGAAGGACGATGAGTCGGGGACATACCCAGGGAGGGAAGGACTGAGCTATATGGAGAATCAGAAATGATGTTAATAACAACTGGGCATGACTGGCAGGGAGTCCCTGTATCTCTATCTTTAGTTTAGTTTTTTTTTTTTTTTTTTTTTGAGATGAAGTCTCACTCTGTTGCCAGGCTGGAGTACAGTGGTGTGATCTCGGCTCACTGTAATCTCTGCCTCCCGGGTTCAAGCAATTCTCCTGCCTCAGCCTCCCAAGTAGCTGGGACTACAGGTGCTTGCCACCACGCCCAGCAAATTTTTTGTATTTTTAGTAGAGACAGGGTTTCACCATGTTGGCCAGGATGGTCTTGATCTCCTGACCTCGTGATCCACCCGCCTCAGCTTCCCAAAGTGCTGGGATTACAGGCATGAGCCACTGCACCTGGCCTGTCTTTAGTTCTTGAGAAGACAACAGTGTTACTGTTCACCAGGGTTCACATCCTTCTCCAATGCTTATTAGCTGTGTGACCTTGGGCAAGTTACTTTCCCTCTCTGGGCCTCTGACTTATTATATGTAAAACATAATACTTCTGCTTGTTTCTTAGGGTTGTTGAAGACGGGTTAACATTTGTGAAGTTCTTAGGGCAGTGCTTGGCATATTGCACTTGTTAAACAAACAAAATTATTCCTTTTTTTTTTTGTTGAGACGGTCTCACTCTGTCACCCAGGCTGGAGTGCAGTGGCACGATCATGGGTCACTGAAGCCTCAACCTCCCAGGCTCAAGTCATCCTCCCATCTCAGCCTCCTGAGTAGCTGGAACTACAGGTGTGTGCCACCACACACAGCTAATTTTTTGTTTTTATTTTTTGTAGAGATGGGGCCTCCCTATGTTGCACAGGCTGGTCTCAAACTCCTGGGCTCAAGTAATCCTCCCGCTTCGCCTCTCAAAGTGCTGAGATTACAGGCTTGAGCCACCACACCAAGCCTAAAATAATGATAATAAATCAATACATCATTATCATTATTTATTGAACCTGTGCCACTTGTCTGAATCCAACTTTCTCATATATAATATCAATAAACACTTCTTGGGTACTCTCTGTTAGCCAGTTTTGAGGTGAGCCTGTTGGTTTATTCATTGTACAGGAAGGGAAACAGACCTTGAGACTCAAATCCTGTCATCAGGGTTTGAAACCAGGTCCTCAAGTTGTTCACTAAGCCTAGGACATCATTTACATCAACTTCCAAATTACCTCATTTAATCTTCAGAACAATCTTGTGGTCTTGTTAAGACCATTTGATAGGATAGATGGAGCAATGGAGCTCAGGGGAGGAAGCAGTGAGTACAGTTGATGCTCGTGGGGATATTGTAGGATTTGAATGAGATAATCTATGTAGGGCTCTTGGTGCTGTAGCTTGCTAGATAGCAGCTTCTATCATCATCATCATCATCATTTGTCAAGCATCTGCCATGTATCAGATGTGCTGGTAGTTTTATATATGCTCTCATTAATCCCTTAAAAAGTGTAGAGGCTGGGCACAGTGGCTCACGCCTGTAATCCCAGCACTTTGGAAGGGTGAACCAGGTGGATCACATAAGGTCAAGAGTTCAAGACCAGCCTGGCAACATGGTGCATCCCTGTCTCTAAAAATTAGCCGGGCGTGGTGGTGGGCGCCTGTAATCACACTACTTGGGAGGCTGATACAAAAGAATTGGTTGGGAGGCAGCAAGGCTGCAGTGGTTTCAGAGAAGGCAGAAGTTGCAGTGAGCCAAGATCATGCCTCAAAAAATTTTTTTTAAAGTCTATAAAGTTTGGAATTCTTATCATTGCTCAACATATAAAGAAATGGAGATGTGGCTAGGCACTATGGATCATGCTTATAATCCCAGCAGTTTGGGAGGCCAAGGCGGGGGGATCACCTGAGGTCAGGAGTTCAAGACCAGCCTGGCCAACATCATAAAACCCAGTCTCTACTAAAAATACAACAACAACAAAATTAGCCTGATGTGGCAGTGCATGCCTGTAATTCCAGCTACTTGGGAGGCTGAAGCAGAATTGCTTGAACCGGTGGGTGGAGGTTGCAGTGAGCCAAGATTGTGCTTGCACTCCAGCCTGGGTGACAGAGTGAGACTCCATCTCGAAAGAAAGAAAGAAAGAAACAAAAGAAACGAAAGAAATGAAAGAAAGAAAGAGAGAGAGAGAAAAAGAGAGGAAGAAAGAAAGAGGGAGGGAAGGAAGAAAGGAAGGAAGGGGAAAGAGAAAGAAAAGAAAGGAAGGAAGGGAGGGAGAGAGAAAGAAAGAGGAAAGAAAGGA